CTTCCACCAACATCGGGGTGGCTGTTCCTGATTATTTTTTCTTTGTTCTGTACATACTCCTGAAGCCTGAGCGGGCTGCTAGTGGGCTGCTGACAGACGGTCCTGAGCATGGATTCGGTTTGGGTATTGGAGAGAGACAAGGGGACTTTTTTCATCCCGCATTTGTTTGACAAATGTGCGTAACATATTGAAAATATGTCTTTTGTGTAGAGGTCGAGGGCCACTGGAGCGACGATTGCCAGCAATATCCTGCCCCGCCTCTGTGTCCAGTGCGCCCCACCACCTTTGCGCGACTCTGCAGCCCAGGGGGGAGTGCCGTCGGTTGCCTTGCAGCGAAACGTCGCCAGCTCCTGGCTTTGGCGTGTGGTTCATGCTGCCGCTGCCTGGTGCGCCAGCGCGCTCCCGCTGGGTGACGTGTTAGATCTCGCGAGTGCGAGCGCCCCGAGTCGGCGGCCGGGGAGATGTTGTGGGGACCAAAAAAACGTGAGTAACAATTGATAGTATGCAAAACGAAGAAGAGTTGTTGTATCCGTAGGCACCATCAAAAAGGGCCTGGCGTGGGGGGCACTCTACCCCTCCGGTACAGCTGGTCCCTTCAATTCATATTGATTCGCAGCCTCCTTCTCTCTTCTGCGTAAGCATACCTCTGTGGCCGTGTATAATCTTGTGCCACGCAACAGGAATAAAGCGTGCCTAGTGCAAGGATACCCATAAAAAATCGGCGTTTTTTAAATTTCCTGCTTGAATTAGCTCGCCTTTCGGAAAATCATACTCCTCCCACGCCCCGCCTGTTCATCGCCTTTACATAACCTCAACCTAGCGTAGCGGTCCGCAGCGCGCTGGGCGCACAGCATCTTATCTGCAGTATGGAATACTGTAGTATATAACTTTCAAAATCATTGCTTTGGCATGAGATGGGGTTCACTCTACATATTTTTTATTGCCTGCCCGCGTTAGAAGCATCGCACAAGCTTCCCGCTCTTCATGTATTCATCAATTGTACGCTAACCAACCGTAGCAGTCTGTAATGTAGTTCTACGATGTTCTACGCGTAAGACGTGTTCCTTTTTTATTGCGGGCGATTTAAATGGGTTCCTGCCAGGTTCGTGCCCTCCTCACAGTTTGTCCGTGCACGTCGCAAATCTGCGTCTGTGTACGCAGAGCGGTCCGCAACGTTGCGCTCGCAAAGAGTCTTCTCGAGCTGGCGCGATTGTAAACAGTACCGTGGGTAGGTAGGAAGTGCTGCCGCCTGCGTTCCGCTCCAAAGACAGCTCCGACTTGAGTGGTCAACTTTGCGACTTTTAGCAAGTTTCAATCGGGATTGCCGAGGCTTGTTTTGAGATCCTGCGGTATCCTGCGGTGGGCTGACTTGCCCCAACACGGCCGCACACAAGACGCTGACGAGGGGACTCCGATGTTCCATACCGGGGTCTGTCCCATTGTGCCTGAGTTTGTCCTTGACTCCGGACTGTTCCGTGTGTTGCCTTCGTCGATTGCGCCTTGACGATGGCGCCGGTGGCTGGATATCTCGGGTGAATCCGTCGCCGCCTGCCCTCGGTCTGGTGTTTTTTTGGGTGGGGAGGGGCCCGATCGAACATGTAGGGACCCTGTTTGCCATGAGGCTGGTGCCTCAGTTGCCACCAACGTTCTTGTCCAAGACCTCAACCTCGATGCTTGCATTTCACTTCCACACACTTCATACACATGAAAACTATGTATGGGAAATGTTGCACCGACAAAAAAGAGCGGACACTATTGCGAAGTATTTGGAGGAAAAGCATTGGCCTAACACGCACACATTAACAGTCGAAAAAAACAACTTCAGTCCTTAGAATGTGCATTCAACGGTAAATGGTTTCAATTTCAGTTATGACGAGTTTGAAACAGCTTTACAGAGTATGAAAGACCACAGACAACCGGTCCAGACGGTCTGACGATGAACTTTTTAGATGGATGAATAAACAACATCGCGTTCGTGTTCTAGCCATAAAACATGGTTGTTGGTCCACAGCACCGATCCCTGAAGATGCTTGCTTGGTTCGTGCTGTGCCATTGTACGAGAAGTGGTCCCTATTTACCATCAAACTATCGGCTTGTTTCAGTTCCCAATTCTGTTTTACTGCTTGACCCCGCTTTGTCTGATACTTACTCAATCTGTTTTCTTTCCGAAGTAGCTTTTGCGCTACTTGCTTCACACGATGCGTGGAAGACATCGCAGAGCTGAGGGTGTCCTACTTAATCATCACATCAGTTGATGCAGATGGAAAGAAAGCCTTCGACACGACATGACAGCATGGCTGTAGCTTTAGTTCGCATAGGTGTACTTCAGCACTTTATCGATGTCCTCATCAACTGCCCCAGGAATCCAAAGGTTTGTGTAAAAATCACTATCGGCGCGACCGCGCGCCAAGAGCCGCCAGCATCTCGGCTGGTGCATGGCTATCGGCAGTTCCGAGCGAACCAAAACTAACTTTCGCCCCGCAGGCGATGCAGCTCGTGTTGTGGCGCCGCTTGCGCTTACCCCTGCCATTTAGCCCACGCACCAAAAAAGTACTTATATAGCCCAAGCCCTCGTGCTTTTGCTCCTTATGCCAACAAAACCAGGCAAAATCAAGACATTTTTGAGAACGCAGTCAACCGCCATTGTTGAATGTGCCCACGGTTTCACCATCATGCCACGAGAGGCGGGAGACTATGGCTGTAAGAAAACCTCGATGCTCCCAGACATGACGAACGTCGCATCGAGGTCATGGCCGACGGTTCGGTTTTGTGTCGCCACTCACTTCTGCCGGTGTGCATCGTCGCCGTCGGCCCAAGGAGCGCCTTTAACTTGAGTTTGTTGGTGCCTATCTGCCAAGATCGTCGAGCATGCCTGGGTCCGTGGGCCCATCGGGCCCGAAGAGGAGGTCGTCCCCGCAAAGGTGCTTTGCGCATAAAAACGGGGTTGCGCAGTCCACCGCTTGGGTTCGCTTTGTCGGACCTGAGCGCATGCCTCCTAAATCCGATCATAGCTCTTGCGTTTGGACGGATCGACGAGCTCCGTTATCGGCTGGGGAGCTCATACCCCACGGAAGCTGAGGCCTGCGTGTGCTGGTGCCAGACCCATTCATCTTTCTCGGGTATTTCTCGATGTTTGGCTTGGTGTGGCTTGGTCCACAATCATATTGCTGAAACACATCAGGCGTAAGTAATATCAAGACCAAGAGGTTGGAACATTGGACAACATACCAAATGGAGGCGGCGACACCAGTGCCATGACCTGCTGTGGGCGCTGCATTAAATACGTGAGGGCTGTCGTTAAGACGGGCGGGCCGAACGGCCGCACACGAAGGGTAACAGAACTTTCAAAGACTGCTGCCGCATGGGAACGGCTTCCGAGTCCGCTTGCTTAGCAGTGCCCATGGTGCCGGCCAACCGTTGGCCGGCGCGACCTTCCTTGCCTGCGGTGTCGATGAGCAACGCGGTTCTGCAGGGGCTCGAGGTTTCGCTGCGGCCATCCCCGCCACAAGCTTCGAGCCACGCCCATCGGCGCCATGTGCGCTAGCACGCCGGCGGAAACTGGCAATGGAAGCTGAGACATGAGACAGTTGCGCAGTTGCAACCCCGGCACCCAGTGCGCCTGCCTCGTCGACCTCACGAGGCGCAAACGCATAGAGGACGACATGCCAGGAGTGCATCGAGGCTCGCGACCGTGATTCGGACAGCAACAGAAAGTATGCCTGTTTGATCGCGGTCCCCGATGAGCCGGCGAAAACGCCGCAGAGGCCAAGTTGACCGAGCTATGAAATGTTCGGAGACCATTCAAATTTGAGTAATTTTAGCGCTACGCCGCCCCCTCGGCTCTGTCGTACACACCCTACTAGGGGGGCTTCTCACCCCCAACCTTTGGGAAAGAGAGAGGGGGGAGGGGGGGGGAGGGGGAAGGGGGCCTGGGGAGAGGCCTACAAATCAGGTAAAATGAAGGGAAGCCGGGCAGGGGTGGCAAACGCACGCAAAAACAGGGTGTCTCCAAACTTTCGACTGCAGGGAGGAGGACCAGGTGGAGGGTAATGCTTTCCAAAATGCATCAGGTGTGGCTGCCAATTATGACGCACATCGAGTTTGTCGCTATAATGGATTTGCGCTGTCCGAGCACGTGACGCGGCGAAGCCGTGCACCGCAAAAACTGATTTGCAGATCTGGCATCAGCGGCAGTGCGCGCCGGAGTTGTGCTCGGCGTTGAGGCGGCTTCGGCCATTTCCGCCGTTTCCCTTGGTGAGGAAGCCACTGTCCTGCAAAGCCACATTCGCGCTGCCGCTCAGACAGAGAGAGCTCCACGCTGGTGATGCTCCCGAGCTTCGCGAGATTGCTGAGGTAGAGCTCGTTAACGGTTCTTGCCTCTCACTTTCCCCGGCCGACTGCCCAAGCCCGGATGCAAAAAGAGCTCGTTAACGCCAGGCGGTCCGCGGCCGCCTGCCTTCTCTTGTTTGGTGCCGTGTGCCTGGACCGTCATAACATGCCGTAACAAAATAAACTCGTCGTGCGAGCATGGATGCCGTCTCATGTTGCGGGAAAAGGTGCGCACGAAAAGATACCAGGAATCGCCGTGATGTTGCGATTCTTGCCCGATCAAGCCGAAGCATGAGGGGCTTGGCAAGCCTTGGCATGAACCGTATGCCAAGCTGTGCAGTAGGGCCCAGAACGATGGTGTCAACTCGTGTGAGGAACCCGGCCGCACGTACAAGCATAAAGCATATCCAACCTGAATGCCACTCATGTCGCGAGAAGACCCTAATCTAATTTCCAAGCCTATTACCATCGTGCCCGAAAGATTTTTCATTTTGGATTTAGAGTTGTGATTTATCATGGACCGGTTGAAAAGGTTATAGAGACTCAAAGAGAAGGTTTAAGGCGTTAGATGTTTCATGCATCTTATCCACATTTTGCTTGGGGTGGACTTCTATCACGTTCAATCCGCTCTCAAATGCTGTTGTGTGCGGCAGGCACGAGGTTCGCACCGGATGAACAGAAGAACTTTGCATGCTCTTAGTGTTACCGTGCTCATTCAGGTTCGGGGGAACCCTCCCTGGTTATGGTGCTTTTTCAGGCTGGTGGATGAAGCATTACTGACACGACAGCGATTGCAATCCTTGCTTCTTTTCCATTTTCCGGCCACTTGTTGTGGTTAGCGGACAGGCCCTGGTTCCAGGGATTCGAGGCGACAACGGCGACAAAGTATTGCCGATTAAAAAGGCAGGACACAGAGCCCAATCAGCGGGGCGTGCTGTGCGAGTCTGTCGTGCAGGTCGCTTTATTGCTCCTCCGGGTGTTGCAGCGTTTGCTCAATGTGCCGGACAAGGCTGGCGGTGACATGGGGTGGCGCGAAAAGTTTCAGAAGACCGAAAACAACGTCAGTCCGCCGTCCAAGGTTTTGTATCCTGCCACAACAGCAAGTTTTCAAGGCCAGTACTTCGCCGAGCGCAGTGTGTTTATCATCCCGGTAGCTTCCTGTCCAGGGCCACGTGTTTTTGATTTCCAAGCTTTTACAGCACTACATGCCCACCAGAGGCCACGGCAAGCACTGTTGCACATGCGTGTTTGGTCGATTGTTCTATAGTTCTGACGGTGCCCAAGGCAAATTCGGCAAAAGTACGCAGGCAGCGGCAACCTCAGCACGTGATTCGTGCGTGTGAGTGAGATCAATTTCTCGAGTCCGAGGCGGTTGCCCCGCAGCTGTCGAGGAGAGCCTTCTGCTGGCTCAGATGTGGGAGGCACGGGTTAAGGGCAGTGTGTAACACAATGAGTTGGCTCGCAGCTTGCCATCGTGAGGACGAGTTTCTTCTGACCTACGCGCCATGGCCTTGCGCACGAGTCAAAGCGGGTGTCAGATCCATCGTTGTGTACGTGCGCATGGGTAAGGTTTCACCCTTCAGAATTGGAGTATTTGAAGACGTCCGAGTCGTTGCGGGCTGCATGCCGTCGGTACGAGGACGGAGCTGAGATGATTTTCACAAGTTTTGCCGTCTAACTACGAATCGCAGCTTTTCATTCGCCCTGCAGGAGCTGCAAAGGCTGACCGGCAGCAGGCCCAGTGGCGAAAATTCACACGCTGTACGTTCGCTAGATGCAGTTGATTCTGATGCAGCATGGAGAGGACGGTACCCGGAAGCAGCTTAGAACATGTGCTTTTTGCCGTGTCGCAGGCCAAGCACGGCGCAGCAAGAGAAGATGCCAGACTTGGAAAACGGGTGCGCGCCTTTGTCTCGGTCATGTGCGGGTACACCATGGGTGCCAAGAAAAGCCCGGGAGGCAGTGCAGCCCGGTGTTCAGCGAGGCTATTCGAGTGGCTGTGTCGTTTTGCGACTGTTGCCTTGTGCACCTCATCCAACGCATGCCTGATGCGAAAACTTTGTGCTTACTTTGATTCAGTTATGAGCATTGGGTGCTACATAGCCGTTTCGCGCAGTCGTGTGCCAGGGCACTTTCCAAGTTGACCGGGAAAGTCGAGACGGCCGGGCGCACATGTAGGACGTGCTGCTATTTGCTCGGCTTCTTATGATTGATCATCGCCAACAGATGGGCATGCGACCTGATGATGAAAGCATTTGCGTGCTCGTAATCGTTGCCGGCTTGTGTCGCAAGCTTGCGTTGTTTCTTGGACTGGTGCCAGATGTGAGCAGCACTTCCTCCCCAAGAACTGCGAGCCACCCCGTCATCTTTGGAGATCGGGGTTTGAACGTGGTGCCGGTGCTGTGGGGGCAACTTGCAGTCAGGTCCGACGAGGTTCAATGCAAAGGTCCGCAGATCTTTCAGGCTCCAGGCATCGCTTTAGCTCCTTGCCATGGCGCTCTTCGTCCCCGCTCGGCGCCGTTCCGCACTCGCGGCTGCTCTCGCGATGGCGGCAGTTTTCGGCCTTTGCGCGCAGGCCAGGGGCCAGGGCCAGGACGAAGCGAGGCCTTTGAGTTTTTTGCACAGGTGAGCTCCGCTGCAGATTTCGTGACGGGCCTTCCGGCCGTGCGAGCACGAAAGCCAACCGTGAACATGCAATCCAAGGCCGTCTTGGGCAGTCTTGCACGATCTTGCACATGCCTTAGTGCCCAACCCAAAGCTAGACTCGACCCATGTGGCCTGCGTCCCATGACATGAATACTGACTGGTTTCCGCGGAGACAGCTGTTTTGGACACGTGGTGCTTGCAGATTCTGAACTGCAGGTGGACGACATCGTAGAAGATCTCAAGGGCTTGACGCTGCTTGAGGCCTCAGAGTTGGTGAAAGCCATCGAGGAGAGCTGCAAAAAGACATCCCTGACACGTGTGAAAGCTGCATGCCAGCCTTTGCTTAATGGTGATGTGAGGAGACTTTCGGCGTGGACGCTTCCGCTTCGGCAGGCGCAGTTGTCATGGCGGCCCCCGGCGCAGGTGGCGGGGGAGAAGCTGCTGAGGCACGGCTGGATTCCGTGTCTCCCATGAAGTGTTTTCGGGATTCTGTGTCGCCTGTCACAGGCAGCAGAGGAAAAGACAGAGTTTGATGTGGTGCTGAAGGAGGTGCCGAAGGACCGGCGGTAAGTGGGGTCGGTCCCCCGCAACACGGGTCTTGCCTCCTCCGGCTGCTGGGTTGGCAGCGAATGAGCCCAGGAAGGCATTGCAGCCTTGGTTTCAGGTGTAGCTTGGATTGCTTCGAATCCGGGCAGATGTCCTCGTGCTCAACATTACACCCTGAGAGCTGCTTCGGCAGCTGTGGCAAGAAGCAGTAGAATCGGCAGTAGCCTAACCGCGTCAGGTCATCAAAGGATATCAAAGGTGCACTCTGCATGCGGTCTAAGGCTAAGGGCTTCGTCGCTTCTCCACGCCTTTTATGGAATCAGCGGCAGGGGATTCGTGTTGAACAGGAGAAGAAGATCGCCATCATCAAGGCCCTGAGAGCCATCACTGGCCTCGGCTTGAAGGCTTGGCTCCAAGGGCAGCTTAGCACAGCTCTCAGAAGGCAAATATCACAGCCAGGACGCCAAGGGCTTGGCTGACAACCCCGGCAAGTTCATCGAGGGGAAGCCGAAGGAGTTCTGCGAAGATGCCGTGCCTTGCTTAGGGGGATGGCCGCTGCCGGACTTGGGGGGCTGCAATGTGTAGCCAGCTCTGTAGTTACTTTGCCATGGAATCTCGACGTGTACTGGGCATGAATTCTTCCCCCCCCCCCGGGAGCGTGACTAGGTGTGACACATGCATGCCCGGGATCCCTTGCACGTCCACAGCTTACAACAACAAGGTGAAGCAGCTCGAGGAAGCTGGTGCCAAAGCGGCGATTGAGTGAGCCGGCGCTTTCAAAGGTGTCTGGGCATACAAAGCAGTCGAAGTCACACAAGTGTCCGGATGCTCGGACATGCAGCATCACACTGCCTGCCTGTAGGATCTTTAAACTGAAGTATAGGCACAGGGTTCAGGCATTCTGTGAAGCTTGGCTTGTGGTGTCCTGCTGCAGCAAGAAGACAGTGCATTTTGGGGGTGACTAAATGACAAGAGTGACTTCCGATGACTGTCTGGAACTTGTGGGGCTTCGCAGAAGTCCTTAGATCAGAGACCAGCTTATCTTGAGCCAACAGGTAGTCCACCGACGTTCTTCTCCTTTCACTATGTTCGCCCTGTGTCGTTTGAGTCTCACAAAGTTGGGCCCGGTTCCAGGACTTGATGCTGACAAGATGCAGCATTTGACAAGACGTGCCTGCAGACCTGCTCGGAAAAGTTGTTTCTGACTTCTTTTGGTGCACCCGAGCATCCGCGTCCTTTTGCTTCTGAAAGGGCTGCTTCCTGTCATGTCCAGGCTGGCCAAGCTCGGCGCGTTCTTCTTCTGTGGCTACAGAGGCCTGTCTGTTTTGTTGTTTGGGCTTCGTTTCTCCCCAAGGCTACCGATTCGTGGAGCAGGACGTCGTTGGGCGGATCGAATCAAGCGCGAGAGCAAGTGAGAGCCAGAAAGTAGGGTCGATCCTGTGGAGTCTGGATAAGAAACTCGAAAAATATTGGATGCCATAGCAAACTCTGCTTGAGAGGGTTCTTGCCAAGTACTCGGTCTACTTGGACTTTACAAGTCCAACCAAGTCAACCACCCGATATGCAACCTCTGTTGGCGCACGGAAGAGACGATACATCACGTATTCTGGCAATGCCCTCAATGGCAGCATCTTCGTGATGAACATTTACCTGGTCAGCTCATCCAAGATGCGTTGCAACTCCCTAGTTGCACCCTGCTTACTGGTCTTTTCCTTCTTACGGAGCAGCAGGCATCACATATGGTTCAACAGCACGAGGATCCGACCATACCTAAAATTTGGCCAGCGCATCACTTTGCTCATGCGTCGAAGATGCATCAGATGATGGTCGACATTATCAAAGAGCGCAACAACACCACTGCAGCAGATGCTCCCGATGACTTCGATCCTGACGTTTACAAAAAGATTCCCAAATCGAAACAGAAGCTTGACCCCAATCACAAGCAAGATTCACCGAAGCAGCCTCCTACTGCTGCTCCCGATGACAAGAATCCGCGAACTGACGCGGATGGCTTGCTGCTATCTAGATCGTTACGCCCAGGTGGTTCCCGATACCAATATGTTCAGCTGCTGAAGAAGGACGTTTATCGTGCTGTCATTCCACGAGGCTCCAAACGCCACTCTATTGGTCCCTTCAAGACGGAAGAGGAAGCAGCACGAGCTGTCAAGGATTTTCTGGAGAGGTGGGACTCCGGTGATGCTCCTGTCACACGAGGCTCAAAACGCGAAGAAAAGCATTCCAACCACATCCAGAACGAGCTCAACAAACTCAACAAAACCGCCAAATTTGAAAGACGTCATCAAATTCTTGACGTCAACACGCCGGTATGTTCCTTCTGCAAAAAAACAGTGCAGCGATACCACATCCTGACCTTTGTTTCCAGACAATGCAACGGTATTTCTGACAAGGACTCTTTCCAAGACTAGACAAGCAGTTCTCGACGACGACATAAAGAATCACAACCGCTCAGCGCCAGCGGATGGCAGACACTTCAAAATTAATCTCAGCAATCCGACGTGCAAATGCTGTGACAAGCAAGTCACCAGAGGCAAAGCGCGCTATTTCATGAAACAGCATTGCACGGCATCCATGATTTAGCAGCCGGAACGGCGCTGGCGGTAACCCCTTGTTCGGTTCCGACAGCTTACCAAGGTTGCAAGTACTCGGTCTACTTGGAGGCTCCCTCATAGGCTTATGCCGAAAAATGAACGGGATCTTTGCGCCGACAGCAATAAATTCAGCTTTCCCGCAAAAGGCCGCCGGCAGCTGAATCCCCTCAGCTTCTTTTTGATATGCAAACAATCAAAGAGCGACAGGCAAGACTCGGTCGTCACATGCCAGGCTCTTGACCAACCGTAGCCCTAAACTTCTTGACTGCCAGGTGCCTCTTGGTTCGGGCGATTCCCTGGACCCAAAGGCCCAGTGCTCTTGCCTCTTCTACAGAAAGCATTGCTTGACTCCTGTGTGTGAAAGTGCCCTTTGGCTGAAGGGTGTCTAAAGCTGCTCGGATGTGATTTGCAACGTTGCACGTGCCTGCCAGGCGCCCTCAAGTGCTGAGTCTGGCGAAGGCAAGCTTGAGGGGTGGCATCTCACAATCTCAAGTCTCAAGTTTCAATCTTGTGCGGGGAAGAGGGGCGGCAAGGTGCTGCATATACTACTGTAGGTCCTGGCTGGGGTTACGTCAATCTGCTGCTGCATTTCCCGATCAGCATATCTAGACGCCTCAGCTCCAGCGACGTTGCCGTGTCATGGCTGCCTCTTGCCAGACTCCGCACAATCAGCGGCTTCTGAATCTCATTCTGCACAAGTGGTTTGGCAGAGGCGCGGAGCTTTGCCTATGCACACACCTTTGCACGGACTGCAAGCTGTGTGCTTCTGCTCATCATTGCTGCCTACTGTTTTTCCTCTGCCATGTCTCATTATTATGTGTTTCCTTCGGTTGCCATGATTGAAGCGGAGCAGGTTGTTCATGGCATTGCTCCCTTCAATGGGCGAGCTCATGGTCATGTTGATGCGGCTAGTGCTGAACTCCAGTCCGGATCTTGGAGCAGAATGTGGCCGTCGGATTCTGTTGTGTCGGAGTTTATTTCAGACCGAACCAACCAGCTGCTAGCAAACCAAGTTTACGCCTACGCCATGGGATGCAGTGTGATTGAGTCATTGAGGTGTTTGCACCGACGTCATCAACGTGTGCGATGTGCTCGACCTGTGGCGAGAGCGGCGTGCTGCTGACATGCACGAGGCCTGAGCAAGCACTGTTGAAGGATCGGACAGGCAGTCTGTAAAGTGCGCCGTCGCTAGCACGGTTCGGAGCTTGTGGAGCAGACGTAAGTGGGACTTGGGTGCCCTGTCTATAGATGAGACACATAATGACAGACGAGTCAAGTGACGGTGAGTCCGTCCATCCTGGATCCTAGATTGGCCGAAGCCCATAGTCGCACGATCAGCAGGTGCAAGTCCGAAACCGATGTATTCCCTGAGCTGCTTATGCTTATCCGTGAAACGAAGTGCTCTTGGCATCCCACCTGCATTCTTCTCGAGAGTGCCAAGTACCGAAGCTCCGCGAAGATCTTGCCCCCCCTGCTGCGACAGAAATGCTCTTGAAACGACAGCTCCTTTTGGGTAAAGTGCTGACTGAGATCTTCATGCATCCACTTGGATGGAGACGAGGTCACGTATATGTGAGGGACGGAGCATACCCATTCGTTGAAAGCCACTGTACAAATGGTACAGTGTGCCAGGTCTTATCTGCGACACACCGCCCGGCGTATGACCGACCGACCGACTGACTGACAGACTGACCGAGGGCTCGGACCGCGCCAGCAGACGACAGCTGGACAGGTCGTCGTCGCGAAAGGAGTAATTAATTAGCATGTCTGAAGAGGGAATCTTTCACCACGGACTTCACGCAAACTAGCATAAATCGAGCAGCAAGACTGCTCCTTGTTCGCCTTACCCTGTTCTTGCCCTGACCGCGATCTAGGGCCTGGCCTTTCCCGGCGAGCTGGAGATTCCAGATCCGGTGGAGGTTCGCACGGGCAAGCACCGGAACAGTGATAATGCGAGACTGTTCCAGTTGAAGGCTCACGACTGATAAGAATCGTGGCCGAGTAGGATGAGTCAAAGGCGGCAATGCTTTGCGTGTCGTCCTGGGAGGACCTTCGGCACCGACAGCTCCTCGCTTGTGGCGCTGGAGGTTTCCTGCCCGTGGGTAGAGACATGTAGTTTGCGCTGTGCCACACCTTCAGCGAAGCATTCGGCATGTATCATATGCGTGTATAGACTGGTATGGCGAAAGCTTCGGGCATGCCTTCCCTTATGGATTGGATATGATTGGATGGATGCCAGAGATTGCAAATAAGTTGTGCCCGAAAGGCATATTGCTATTGCTGATCAAGTCTGCCAGACGCTTCGATGCGGAGGAGCGTGGGTTCATGTGGATTCTTTGCTCGCTCGCGAGAAGTACTATAGTGGAGTGCTTAGGAATGTCGCCCGAAGCTTAAGGCCAGTCGTGCGAGGACTACGCCTTTCTCACGCATGTCTTGTCTGACCACCACGGCCTCGGGCTCAACGGCCAGAGTCTCAGAGGCAGAATGCAGAATGAAGCCGGATGCTGCAGACTTACGTGCAATGGCAGGGGCCATTGTGGTGTTGAAGGTCTTGAATACGGACCGCGGTGACCGTGGCAGCGTGCAGCATACAGCTCTTGAGGTATAGATACGGCTAGGTCAGCAGAATACTGTAGAAGGCTGTGGTTCTTGTACGACTTTCCAGATTGTTCTGAGGTGGCATAGGCTTCGTGGCATTCAACACCGAGCACTCCACTCAAGGGCTCAGATCACGGGTTGAGACCACTTGCAGGATCCTCCGCCCGAGACTGCACCGCCTACGCCGGCTGTAAACTCAGTTGATCGACATCCTCTGAGGCAGCTTTTGGCCTCCCTGCAATCCTGGTACTAGTACCTGCCAAGGTGCTGCCTTGTCTTCGGCCTGCAATGGGAAGTCGTGGACAGAGCAACCTTTTCCAAGCGTTATCGTCGACGCGCGAAGCTTGTCATTCTCGGCTGGCGAGGTGCGCACTTCCCGCTATCTTCGAAATACCGTGAGGCCCGGTTCCGATGGTTCCGACTTGAACAGGGTGAGATATTGTGAGCCTTTTGTGCAACTTGGTGCTCCTCTTGTGTTTCTCGTGGTTCTAGCCGCGATTCTAGCCTCGTCGAAGCAACGCCATCCTCGAACGGCCCAAACATTTTTTAAATCTGTGTCTCCAACCGCGGGAAGCTTAATCAGACGGCATCTTCAAAGTGGAGATGCGCCGCTCCCGTGTCTGCCGGTGCCTGTTCTTTTGCCAGGAGTGTGGCAATGCTCGCCTGCTAGAGCTGCTTCACATGCTCTGCAAAACGTGTGGCTGAGCTGAACTCGCGGGGATTCTGGAAGACGTACTTTCTTGGTTGGCCTGCGCATCCAGCTTCGGGGATTGGACAGGCATGCCTGAGCACCGAGGCCCTGACCGCGTGCGAAAATATCTTGTTCAGTACAGGGCGTCCTTCATCCTGAAACGCCGGGCTCCCGGAGCCTGCATCACACGCCCTGAGATCTCGCGGGAAAGCTTCGGAACATCCGCACGAGGACTGCAAAAGTCAGCTGGCTCCCCTGTGCACCGGCTGATCCTCAAGCTGATGAAAAAGCCACTTGGAGCCAGTATGCGACCGGGAGTGTTGTGTGTCGTTTATCCTTTTCGGGGGTCGGTTCCGCTAAGCTTGCCGAAGGGTGGCTTGCCGTAGCTGGGTAGAAGCAAGTTCACGGATTTGTTTGACGGGGCAGCGGACAGACGTTCAAGGTGAATGAGTTTAGTTTGCAGGTTCTGGTCGGTGGTGTTGTGATTCCTCCGAGGCAGGTGCGTCACCTCCCCCGTTCCCTGGCAGCAATCAAGCGCTGGCTTCATGGCCCATCTGTTTGGAACCTCTCGTGCGAAGGCAAGTGGAAGCAGACCAACATGAAGATCCTGTCAGCCTGCTACCTGCAGGCGCCCAGCCTTGAGCTGCGGCACAGCCCGAGGGAGATCCTCCGAAACAAACCGGAGGACGAAAAGCCAAAGCCTGTGTGAAAGCCCTGAGCCTGGCAAGGTGGCCATGAGTCCGCTCGAGGACTGGCTGCTCAGCGAGCCGCGCGGCGAGGCTGGCAGAGCCCTCAGAGGCCTCAAAAGGCAAGGCGTGTGAGGCGCAAGCTGCAGATTCAGATGCTGCAGTCAGCTCCGATTTTATCAGGCCCTGAAGCAGGGGCCATGGCACAGGAGCCATGATGCCGTAGCTGCCAGGTTTGGTTTTAAGCGGCTGCTGTCGACTCTTCGCCAGGACTTGAAGGCTTTGAGTGCATCGCGGGTGACACAGGCAAGGCAGATCCTACGACTTGCTCTGTGCGAAGCCTTCATGTACGTGCTCTACCTTCCGTACCCAATGACGCTTGCTCTTCAATTCGTGCCAGGCGCAAGTCTTTCAGAGGCATCCCGGCGAACTGCCTCTCGCCCTGTGCATGTATGGATGGCTTGGGGGCAAGGGAGCTACGAACAGGCAACGGGGATTCGATTCTCTCTGCTCGGGATGCGAGAACTTTCTGAGTCTGGTTTTGCTAGCTTGCTCGGCTGTGTCGAAGCGTCTCGCAACCTAGGCCACACCCAGAGGACTGTCTCGGTTACGTGTTCCTGGGCCGCAGAAAAGGTTGGATCCGTGGCTGCTGCTCCTCGTAGTTCTAGGATGCTATAGTCTACAAGCAGACAGTGCACGCATCAGCTTCGCGCAAACTGCTCAACTGGACCAAGGCATGCTTTCCCTGAGTTTGCCTCATCGGCTGAGCATGGCAAAATCAAGAGCGGTCGATTGACGACAGCTTGGCTTCAAGTGCCCATGCAGATCCCAACACATGTGATGAACTTTGCTTGCCCGCCTATCATGCCAAGCCTTGAGCGCGTCTCCAAGCTCAAGCTGTAGGGTTAGCAGTAGCAGTTCAGATGTGACTGACTTCTCATAGTTGTCAGGCACCCGTAACCGTATCTGCAACATGCCAGAACATGCCGCAAAACTCCGAAATTCAAGCCGCAGGATGGCCTCCTAAGGGGGTTCCAGCATGTCGGGATGGAGCAGTCCGCTTCAGAAATTGCGGCGTGAGTGTGTCAGGTGATTTAATAAGTGGAAAGACTCGTCGACGAGCAATGGCTGATGAAAGCCTTGAGGCCATCCAGCAGCTGAGGGCCTCCATTGAAGAACAAGGCCGTGAAATCCAACGACTTCTTGAAAGACATTCGCAGCTAGAGCAGCAGCTCCATGGCTTGGAAAGTCGTGGCCAGGACCAGGCTTTGCATGAGCCCAAGGCTCACGAATCCGATCTTCCTGGACGAGCTAGCAATGGTCCACGACTTTCTCTAGAATCCGTGAAGTCTGCCACCCCTGCGAAAGCATCGGCACTTCCACCAGTCGCCGAGCCACTCTCCAAGAGGCTGGCGAAAGCCATGCCGCAGCTCAGGGAGAGTCAGCAGTCAGCGCCGCTGACGGCACAACCGAAGGAGGGCAGAGACGTGTGCATGGATGCGATCGACCTTCTCGACGACTTGCCTGAAGAGGCGATCGATGAGGATCGGCAGGAGAATGAGGACGACGACATCGAGGTGCAGATGGATGTTGAGAATTCTCGCGTCAGTCCACCTACCAGTACCAGCTTCACAGCAACCTTTCGCTCCTGGGACTCCCTCGCCGCTTTGCTACAATCGGCTCCTTGCCTGCTATATGGCGACTACCCCCCCTCGCGAACACTAACCTACTTCTGCAGACCTTGCCAGGCTTGTCCGAGAGCGAGTGTCAAAAAACCAACACAACCGAACCTGTGCTGGACGCTCATGGGCCGCTCATACCACCACGACCACCACCATCACAACCACCACCAGCACCAGCACTACCACCACTACCTCTGAACACACGATTGGAACAAACATTTGGTCAAACATCAATAGCACACCACACGATCCTGGATCTTTGTCGCTGCTAGCTGTATTGGCAGGCGGAACAATGCTGCAGTCGTGGTAGTCGTCGTAGTAGTAGTCGGTGTCGTCATCGTAGTGGTCAGAATCTAAGAACCATAGCCCGGAAACTGAGCATACTATGCCGGTTCGTGACTCAATGGTGGTGCTTGCGGCTTTTTGGTTTCCAAATAAGAACAACAGAATTGAGGCAGGCTTTTGTACGACGATGGCGACCGCCTTCACCTGCTTGGAACTGTCGCGGGCTGTGAAGGATGCAGCTTTCGCCTTCCGTCAGTGGCTCCGTGGTGGCATCTGCGTCTGGATTCGCATCTTGTATATGCCACACACACATACATACATACATACATACATGCATACATTCATAGTGTGCACGTTATGTCCTCGCGCAAGAGAATTTTTGCAGCAGATAGTTATGAAGATGGTTTTTTGTGATATGCGATGAGTGGCGAGGCCATCCAGGGGAGGGATAGATGATTATTGTTCATCGTTTAACCCCAGCTTGCAAAGGTTTGACCCACTTGCACAGTTCTTCAGCTACGCTGCTACACGCTGCGCAGCAGTAGGAGCGAGAATGCAGTACTGTCAGGTTTCCCTCGCGGGTCCTCGTGATGGGTGGCGTTTCCAGCAATCCTGCCAACAGCTTGTCGTCAACCGAGGCATTGGCAGTGTCAAATGGGTCCAGCTTTTCTTCTACCAACAAAGCATTTCATTCTGACATTCAGGACGCCACAGACTGGGAGCCAAAAGTCAGCTGCACCTGTCTATTCTATGTTTTGCTACTGAGTGAGGCCCCATGCGATACAGTGAAGACATTAAGTAAGTCAAGGCTTGTGGCCCTGGGATCTTTACTACCTACGTCCTACATGTTGGGGCACGTGCACGGGCTCGCATCCGTGGGTTGGACGATGAAGCTCCATCAACTGCAAGACCGAAGCCGCAACCACGTGTAAAGACCTGGGCATTCGGAAGAGGCATCGCCTTTGGTGGTGGTGCCAGCCCGGGGAACCCCACAACTAAGTTGGGGTTCGAAAGGCTGTTCCTGCAGTGGACAGGCCCAAAGTCCAGGGACTTGTGGGAGAGGGGGTTGGAGACCTTGGAGATCCAGGCAGCACGCATAGCATAGCATACTGACGCGATTCTTTCTGCCGCAGCATCGGTGCGACCTTTGTGGGTGCATGCCTCGTTGTACGCGTGCGAGCTCATGCGGTCACCGGTAATGTTTGGCGAGCAGATGCATAGATCGGTACGAAACATAGAAATCGATCGGTACTGTACATGGAGAGGAAGCAGGTCGGACTGGTGCGCTTTGCACGAACTTCGCAGAGACCTTTGCAGGTCTTTGACCCAAGGCACGGCTCCTGGGAAGCCGGGCCGTCGTTGCTGGAACCTCGAGGCATGGGTGCAGACGAGCAGACCGTCTAGTACAGACGCAATGTCAGGTTGTGAGTCCGTGCACAGAGAGGATTTCAAGCACTGTGCAATGGGGAAGCTGCATGTTTGGAATGATTTATAGTGACTGCCAGGGCATGCTGCCGTCGTGTGCAGTGCTGGCGTGGTGTATGTCATTGGTGGTAAGGCCACCAGGGTCAGCAATTGTGAGTCTTTATTCTTCGTTGTTTGGGCGAGGGGTTTTATGCTTGCGGCGCTTGGTAGAAAAGCGTGCTTTGGCTCGGTAACTGTGGCGATACTTCGAGCAGCTATCAGTCATCGCTCGGTTTATTTTGCAACGAGCGGATCTGCTCCCTGTGACAGGATGGACACCGAGCCCTTGCTTCGGTGGAGGAGTGCGCCTTTCAGGATGCGGCTTCAGGTGTGCTTTCGAGCAGATGTGCAAAGCAAGCCCACGATAGCTTCCCAGGTTGGCCCGCATATAAAGCCACCAGGTGTTGCATGCTGCTGCGCCATCGCCGAAGACTTTAGGTACTGTGCAGAAACGCATGTGTGGAGAAGTGCGTGTGGGTCTCAAACTCTTCGGATGCGATTTTGAGTCGATTTAGTTGGTTGAGTGCACTTCTTCCTTCAGCCGCCGGAGTTGGGTATGGTCATTGTATTGAATCAGAACAGCAATCAAAGCCACCGAGGCCGGCCCTGGCTACTCCTCGCTGGGGTGCGGCGGCACGGCAGCTGGGAGATCAGGCCACGCACCGTCTAATCTCGCGGCAGACCTTGCCGTGCTCGAATGCAGCCTCCGGCAGCCAGGTGTTTGTGATGGGTGGCTGCAGTGACACGGAGACACTCCGAAGCTGCGAGAAGTTGCCAAGGCGCGATGTTGGCTAAAACGCCGAAGGCAGAGTCTGCTCCTGCCAAATCGCTGCATGGCTCCGGTCTGAAATCCGCATGAAACCGTTCCCAGCTGGCCGAACTCCTTGACTCTGAAACACTGCGACCAACGATTTCCCTTCACCACGTTCCTGCGTGCCACGCCAGTTCAACAGCCGATGACCGCTGCTGGCAGACAGCTCCAGTCTCGGAGCCGGTTGAAGCTTTCGCGGTCGAAAGGGTCACACTGAACGCGCATCCGGCTCGAAGGCGCCGCCTTTGATCCAGCGCAGGGCCCACTCAGCAGCAGCCGCCGGGTTCCTAGGAATCTAGGCCAGTACGCTGCCGTGCAGATGTGTTTCGAGCCCAGGTCCTCGATGGTGCTCTTTTCGTGATGGGAGGTTGGGCCACACTTCACGGAGCATGTGATGATCGCAGAATCGCTCCTGCCCGCTGCACACTGTCCCAGTCTCTCGCAGAGAACCTTCGTTAGCAGTTCGGCTCCGGGTGATCGTGGGCCGTGGGTGGGGTGGCTGCTGCGCCCCCACAATTACCACAACGACAGAAGGCCTGGAAACTCAGCTGCGAAAACTCCGGCATGACTATGGGACCTGTGTGTCAGTCGGTCACTGAGAGAAGGCGGAGGATAAAGTCACCTAGCAGATGTCCCTGGCATCCCCTAATCGTAGACCTTACCCACTTGCTCGCATGGCAAATTAAGTCTGTCGAGTCCCAATTTCCCCATGATTGCAATCGGAAGTCCCGTGCTCACACACACTCGCCCGATTGAACGGCGCCTTGCAGATCGTGGCGCTGCGATCTTGCGGGGGCTCAGAAGGCTCGTGGGGCACAGCCGCGAGACTCCATGCTTGTCAACATGGGCCTTGGTTTTGGGCGAGGGAATGCCGCCGTGGTCTGTAATGTCACAGAAGCAACGGAAGCCTCGTGTGGCCTTGGTCAGGCGTTGGAGGGAGCGGAGGAGACCAAAGAGTTTCGACGACGCTCAATTCCCCAGGCGACTGACAGCAAATCTACCACTCAAGGAGAGCTTCTTCAGAGCTTGATGCACGGAGGGAATTCGGCATGCTTTGATGACCTAGGCACAACATGAAGAATGTATGGAAGTGGATATTCAGTCAGCCAGGCTCTCAGAAGCGGTTCGACCCGATTTGAACTACAGACGTAGTGTAGCATCGTTCTGGTCTGCCAGCGATACCAGGGTTACTTAGAGTATCAGTACATGCACAGGGAAGCTACTTGCGTAGATGGTGGCCTGTGCTATCATCAGACTGGACTTTCGCAATTTGCCAATAACGCAGGGCTACAGTGTCCAAGTCGGGGGCGCCACATCCGGCACTCAGGTGGTGGATCATGACGATCGGGTGGTATTTTTGCGCTGTTGCTGTGGCTGCTGGGCTGCGGCACAACACGATGCGGTAGCATCATGTAGCAGCAGCAGCAGCAGCTGCAGCATGGAAAACGGAATGATTATTCTAATGCTGCATGACAAGGTCGTTGCTGTCAAGCGCGAGAAGCACAAGTCCATGCTGCAACCTGGTCGTGAAAGAATGTACACGGGGCACAACATAACCACTGCCTGCGTCATCCAGGAGCCACAGATGTAGCTGCATAGCCGACAGCCTGCAGCGAAGGACATGTGTCGCCAACTTGGCCATTGGTTGGCCATTGGTTGCACCGCTTGCTTGCTGGCAAGGATTACGGAATCTGCGGGTCCATTTCAGCAACGCGGTGGCACAGACATACACTTGTGGCGCCAGCAGCCCTGCCAACGGAGTCGGGCCGGAAGAAACTGGCAGTAGCCCGAAGGCTGCGAGGGTTAAGACGTAACATGCAGCTCATGGAAACCACGCAACTGCGAGTGTCCTAAGGGCTTACAGTCGGAGACAGAAGAGATAGAGAGACAGACGTGCAGTCGTGACGATCTTTGCCATGCCTCTTCCGCCACAAACCTCTGAACAAAGGCAAAGTGATGGCAATCGCAATCCTCGCTGGGCTGGAGCGGAACTTGACAAATTCTTCCCTTTACAAGATCGGAGGCAGCATGAGTCCGACTTGCCATGTCCGTCTTCAACGCTGATTTGGACGTGCTTAGGAACCATATGGAACCATGTACGTTAGACCTTCTTAGAGCTGAAAGCACTGCTACATGGAGCAGGAATCGGAAGCAAACCTCGAATCAAGTGGTAAACAGTGCGAACTATGTATGTGAGTTGATGCCCATCATGCTCTGCGCAAGGTTCGCTGAAAACCGCCCTGCACGGCTTCAATGTGCCATTGGCCTTTCTCATGGCGGCACTGTGCGGAGTCGACGATCTCGGACGGAGCTGCCTCTTGGGGTCACCCGCTTGAAAGGGGAGCCTTCCGGACGAAAGAGATAGGCAGTTCCCGTATCGCAGCCTCGAAGTTAACTTGATAGGGTTCGGGTTCTGTAGGTATTCCCGACCCCGCTTCCGAGAATTTGCACCGCACTCTAAGACATTATGCTGCATCGTGCAAGCTCCGAACCCGTGCCGTGATTCAGCCATTTAAACTGACCCGCTGGCCAGTGCCGTGTCAGGAAAGCTGGCTCCCTTGGAGCTGGCGGGAGTTGATGTTTACAGGTTTAGTTTGGGTGAAGCGAGAGTTCAGGGGGCCCTAGCACATGATACACCAGGGATCTAAGCAATCGGCGTCAGCAGTAGGAAGGGCCCCTCCTTGAGGCGCCCTCCCCAATGGGGTAAACATCAGAGGTGCAATCATTCGGCAACAAGGCCACAGCGTACATCTATACGCAAAGCGTCGGCCTAGTTTGTAGGAGGGGAAACAAGCATTTTTATTGGTTCTTGCGGTAGGAACGAGCTGTGCCTTCTCCACCCCCAGTTAGCTTTCGTCCTCTCTGCTCTCAAGAAGCTCTCGAGTTCAATCCGTCTTGAATCCTAGAATCACCCAGATGCAAGAACCACAGCGGAACCGGGGAGAGCCCAGAGCCGCAAAGCGACCTGCGCTGCAGGTGCGGCTGCGGGAAGAACCTGCTGTTGACCCTCGCGCTCGTCCTGATTGCTGCGGGATCCATAGTTACTGCAGCCATCGGCGATGGTACAGGCCTCCCATGGTCAGAAGCAAAGGATCCGAGGAGCGAGCTGCTGACCTCGTCAGGTGACTCCTGGCATGGTGACCTTCTGGGCGTCTTCCTGCAGGCACTTTCAAGAGAGAGCTGCTGTGCAGACGGCGGACATGGCCAGAGGTAGACATTGTGTGGGGGTGGAGTTCAAACAGTCGCAGCAGATCTATGGGGAAGGATTTCGACAAGTTGCTGCTTGGCCCACGAGGTCGCCTCTAGTGTGGCCTACGCCCTCAAGTTTGCGGTTGCGAAGATGCTGCCTCCCATCGGCAATGTCAAGCAATGCATAGCAAAGCCTCACGCAGTTGCGACAATAAATTCTGTGTGGAGCACCATGAACCTGGCACCCCTGTCGTCGCAAAGTCGTCAGTCCGGATGGAACGCACATCAGTGTCCTCTTGTTGTCCATTAGGCGGCAGGTGCTGAAATGCATCTTTTCCGTGCAGGGTAGCATGACCGATAGTAGGAAGTATGAATCTTGATGACCAGGTTCAATTCCGGCGATCCGCAGAATGCTACGGGTGTGGACCCAGGCTCTCTCCCTCCCTCGAAAGTGCAGATAGCCTTTGTGGTCAACCCGATCACAGGCTGGCAGCTTCATGTGGATTGCCATACCGAGCTCTTGTTGACGTGCTTCATGTCTTGCTAGGTTTGCGCGCGGTAGGGTTCTCTTGTTGCTGCATGTGCGATGAGCCGTGTTTGCGCAGGTTTGATGAGTCTGCTGTTCTTACCTTTCTTCGAAAGCAATTTCGCGCTTCCCTCCGTGGATTCCACCGTGGTCGTTGGGATCTGTGCCACGGGCATTTTGGTTTTTGAGCTGCTTCTGACCGAGCTGACGTCTCCACTCACAGTGTGCGGGCCGCGGAAGTCGCTATCTGCAGTTGACGATTTGTCTTTCACTAACATCCATGTCGGTAATGTGGATGTGAATGAGGTCTGTGCTCGGGGTCATGCACAACGTAGTGATCGTCGTTTTCTTCACACTCACGGGGGAGAGGATGAGCACTGGGCAGGCCACGGCCTCACAGACGTTCCTGAGTGAGCAAGTTCGAACTTAGTGTGAGAGATCAGTCAGCCGTCACAGTCCTGGGCTCGGTTTCCCATTGTCGTCAAGTGGATCTCGCGGTTGTGGGCTGAAGGCTTGGATGTAGGTGAGTTTTGGAAGATTTTGCGACCGGCAGAACTGTAACAGAAGGTGTTCTAGTAGGTTGATCTGATGCGCCACGCCCGCAAGCATGCCAGGTTGCCGGCTTCACAGTCTCGACTGCAGGGGCGATCTGCTATGCATGTGCACGCAAGCGGCAGGCGGGCCGCTGCCGCCTCCGACGAGAAATCCACATTCGAGAAAGCCATGTAGTGCAAATGCAATGTTTGATAGCCAGCAAAGAGTACCTGTGCTGAAGACTTGTGCTGCCTGGTTGCCCAGACCTTATGAGCTGCGACCTTTCAGGCAAAGCGGGGAGGTCTACTAACTTCGAGATCAGAGGACGGTGCAGATGTGCACAGAGTGTGCGTCGTGCAACGGAAGACAGCGACGCCCGAGCACATACCGATGGATGTTTGTGCTTCTATCTGTTTACTTGCTTGCCGGTCGATCTGTCTGTCTATTTGTCTGTCTGTCTGTCAGTTACAGGTCAGCATTTTTGCGCCCACACCCCTTCGGTTTGTGTGTACACACATGTGTTGTCTGTTCATTCTTGCTCCTCCATGCCTTCCTCGCTGTTTCTGTAGACATTTTCCTCACTTTTCTGGTTGCCCCACCCCCTCCTTTGCATTTGGTCATCCCCCCTCCCCCGCCCGCTGTGGAACTGCTTTGTGGAATGGTTGGGTGGTTTGGTGCATGTGATCATGCGCCCTCTGGACCAGGGGGCCTTCATAAGGCTCCAGACCCGTGTATAATTGAAAAAGGCGCGAGGGCGGGGGGGGGGGGGGGGGGGGCAGAACGCACAGCGCACCACCATGTTTCAGCCTTTTTCGCCGAGGTAGGTGCTGCGGAGATGATGGATGAAAGCTAAGTCTCAACTTGACAGGAAATGCGGCGAGCAAACTCTGGTGTAGAAGAGGGCATGGAGGAGCTGTAGTGAGCCGGTCCGTAGGCTCTTGTGCAAGGCAAGGCTTCCCGACTGTAGTCCGGAGCCCTTAAGCCAGCAACTCATTCTCTCTCTGGTGGCTGTATCGTGCGAAGACTGCAAAGCAGTCCACGTCTTAATTCAGCCAGCATCTTAGCTCTGCTGTCCAAGACGAGATCATTACCGTGATGCAAGATGGTCTGCGGTGCCTTTCTGTTTTGCTGTTTTTTCCAGGGTGCTGTCAGACAGCAGCATGCAGGGTTCATCTTTTGGGTGGATGCGAAAAGTTCCGAACCCGTCACAGGCAGCACCGGCTCCGAGATGACATGGACGGCTGAGCGTTTGGATGTGGAGGCACGCAAGCTCTGGGAGTCTCAGGTGTTTTTGACAAAAGTGGAGGCATCTCTCAATCACAAGGGTTGCCAATTCCTGCTGGAACTGCTTGCCAAGCCGGTCCTCCATGACGGCCTGTCTAGCGCACTACGAATTGCTTCAGAAGTTGCACCACTTCAGCGCGTCATTCTCGGGTCTGTTGCTGCAGGCTTGACGCTTGAACTTCCTGTGCTGAGGCAAGCTGCTGGACCATTGAGAAAGTCCTGCCACAGGCAGCCGGGTGTACCAAAATCACGTGATCGCAGGTAGTGTTCGGCTAGTTGTGACTTTGGTCTGTAACTTAAGATATCCTGCTTGGGAGGTGCCTGTCCGTTTGGGAGCAACCTTGGCCTGCTTCTCAAGAGTCAGTGCTCAGTCTCAGTCGATCTTAGAAGGCCTTAACTTCATATCCAGCACGGCCATTTGAAGGTGTGGAGCATTCAAGGTCTGGTTCGGCCCTAAGCGTCGTAGCATGAATTCAGCAGAGGACCCATCCGGCAGGCAGTAGGCAGCAGAAGTTTTTGAGACTTTCGCAGAGAAAGCCGTGACACTGTCATCTTTGGCAGGTGTCGATCGGCGGTGTGCTTGGAGGGCAATCCTGCCCAACGGCCTGTACAGAGTGCAGCATGCCCAGGTTGCACCCAAGGGTAGGACGCGCCGAGAAGCCACAGGGTGTTCTGGCATAGCCTTCTCATAGCCATGGAAGGAGAGGAACTTTTTGACGGAATCCATAGTGGTCGCATGGCTTGAGGCTTGACGCTGCAGCGCCACGGAGCGACTCTGTGGCTGCAGATTCCGAGCTGGAGGACGCTTTGCCGAAATCATGTTGGCCATCAGATTCTGCTACGCTGCTATGTTCTGCTAGCCAAGGGCACGTTCGCAGCAGTCCGAACTGGAGTGTTCAGGTCAACGGAATCGCGGGAGTCAGAATCCGACAAGTTCTGACGATGGAAACTTAAGCAAATGGACGGCCTGGCGTTGGAGGTAACTCATTGACTGACTCCAATGAATGTACATGTACCTTACTCTGTTGGTGCTGCAGCACGGCCTGGAACAACCAGACCAGATCTTGTCATTGTTGGTGTTAAAACTGGCAAGGTCCAGGTGATCCCTGCTCTTTCGCCGCAGGATACCTCGCCTGGCGCCAGCAGTCATAACTTCTTGCGAGGCAGGCAATCTGTGAAGCATGTCCGGTCGCATCCGTTTTCGAAAGCAGCGGCCCTAGCATTGCATGGTCATCGTAGAACCAATGATGCTTGAAATTGAAAACAAGCGTTATGATCGAACCTTTCAATCCTGACGGTGAGACGGGACGGTTCGACGCAGTTCGCAGCCAGGGCAACATCTTCGTCATGGGTGGGAGCCATAAAAAAGAGGCGCCGGCTGCACCTGTCACGAGTCACAGCCACAACAGTTTCCCTACTCTTCGAAAGTTGGAGAATCTGCTGTGCACAGGTGTGGCACCGCATGCGACGATCAAAACCCGCCTCAGGGTTCCTTCAGCTGGTTGTTTTTCCCCGGCAGGCCTCCAACTTTACGGAGATGTGGGTGCAAGAGCAGCAATGCTGGAGAGCAGCCGCCCAAGTGAAGAACCTCAATGGAGCTGTAAGTGGTCGCTGTCTAGGACATTTCTTCAAAAGCCGTCTACTCAGGAGCTGCCTCCGATGCTGGCCGCCCGTGAGGGCGCTTTTGCTGCTGTACTTCGGTGAATGCATGGGGTCCTCCCATCACTTCCATAAAGACCAGCAGCACGAGCAGCTCAAAAGACTTGCAGCAAAGCATGCGATGTTGGCTGCGGCAAGCAGCACGCGGTAGCCTTGTGCACGCATGTTGCACCAAAGACATCACGAAGATTTCTCAGCCTCGGCCCTGAATTGGGTCACCACGTACAAGATGTGAATGCAGCCAAGTCTTGAGTGTTCCGCAGCTCGATTGTTCATATCCAGGAATTTCCAGGATGCGATTTTGATGTATTTTAGTTGTGGGTTTCATGGTTCAGGGTTTGGAAGAAAACGGTCAGAGTTTGATTTGTCCATTGCCCGCAGGTCTCCGCAATCCCCCGCAGAAGCAGGTCAAATCCAGGTGGAGGTTTGTCGGATCATGATACATTCGGCCCTGATCTTGCAGCCAATCCGTCTGGTATTCTATCATGATGAAACTGTAAACTTCGACACAGATCTATCTCGGCAGATGTCGGAGCCATGAGTTTGGGCTGCCGCAGCAGCTGCTTTACGTTTCTGTGGCCGGGATCGAACTGTGTTAGACTGCTAGACCAACATCGGGATGTGCTTGGCCCACAAGACATCAAAGCACTGCTGGTCGCAGCAGCATCGCCGCACGAACCCACCTCGGTGGCAGAGGCGTCACGGATGGCACAAGCACCTCCTAGTTCAGGCTGTGCTGACTGATGCAACGACAAAGCATAGAGGGAATCTGTCAGCAAGGCACTCCGGTTAATCTCTCAAAGTGTGTTTCGAGGTATGTGGTGCTTCTGCAGTGCGAGCAAGCATATCCACTGATACCGCATCTGGCACTTGAACGTTCGCAGGCACGAATGGGAGAGGGTTGGAAAGCAGCAACAGAGGGAGAAACTCGTCGAGCCTGTGTCGGTAATGCTTCTGAGAGCACGAGCCACAGAACTGCCTGCATGTTCAAGCAGACAGCGTACGTGACTCTTTTTTGAGCTCATGCAAGCGGTTGTGGTGCTTTCTGGGGATCTGATGTGCTGCCAGTCAGCCGGTGATGCTCACATGTCCGTCGGCCCTGCAGAAGCCGGTTTTCGGCAACTCCAGTGCGGTGTCTGCGGCATGGCAGGCACCCCGGCGCATCTTCCTTGAACTTGAACTTGTACATCTTGACTTGGTGCGGGAGATGTCAGCTGCCGCATCCTGCGAGCCAGGGTTCGGCGTTGCCGTCGCATCCGAAGACTGTCTCGGACAGGCTCAGATCATCGGAGCAAAGCGCCGGGCCCTGAAGGCCAGCAGCCCAGCACGTCCCAAGGTGTAGAGGCGAAGGCGGGAGGCACCATCTTGAGCTGGGCCCTGGGCTAGGCTGGCAGCCGCCCCTGGCGGCCGCACTCACCACTGGCAGTGCCGGCAGCTGGGTAGAGGTTTTGGTCAGGATTTGGTGTTGGGCATCCTCGTTGGAATTGGACAGTCACTGGTGCAGCTTGTTAGTTTTAGAGGGCTCTAAGCCCGTAAGGGCGTGGGGTTGAGAGAACGGAACGTGACAGAGTTGGTGATAGGCAGAGTTTTGTTAAGAGTCTAGAGCAGACTTTGCAGGTTCGGGAGGTTCGGCGTGCCTACGAAGTCACAGTCAGAGTTCGGAGAGACTATCAGCGCGACGTCTCATGAGTCTTGCGCAGCTCAGACCGGCTTCGGTGCGGCAGAGGAGGCGGAGTTGCTGCTCAGTAAGCAGAATGCAGCATGCAGACTGTGTGGGCTGTGTTTTTGCCACGCCCTGTCATGCTTCAAAGGGTACGGCTTGCTGAAGTGTCCAGGTCGGTTTGGCCCAGGTATTAGGGTTTCTCGATGGGAGCTTCCTCGAAAGCTGCGGCAGAATTCCGTTGATCTGTATGAGGCCCAGAACCGGCACTGCCCTCGTCATCTACCCCGCACATGATTCAAGCGTGGCTGTCAGCAACCTGTCTCCAAAGACGGCTCGAAGAAGTGTTCAAAGTTCAATGAAGATGGTGACTCTGACCTAATGGCCGGGCCGGTTTGTGACAAGGTAACGAGTGCTGAGTGGCCAGCTAAGGCGTTGATGGACGCATCCAGTGCGTGCTAGAGCTGGAGAGGCTGTTTGCTCGACGGTATTTCTGGCCAACCCTCGAGGCTCCGTGGCCGGAGTCGGCAGGACTTGTCGAGATGAGGGCTGAGGGATTGACTGGGGCCGGGGGTTTAGAGTTAGCCCGGGCCAAGATGATTTTCAGCTGCATGTTGCCTTCACACCGTCACGATTTCCAAGCATGACAACCCAACAGCTGGCAAGCAACAAGCAGCCTTACCGAGGCACGTCAGCTGCCCGTAAGCAGAGATTTTGATTAACCCGTCCAGCCGCTCCGGTTGTATAACATTCCGCACCTCAAAGCTTCTGGACGCATGTGATATGGTTGTGCTGAGGAAGAACGGAAGGTGTGGAGAATGGCCTTACACTTTGTGCGAGACCGGTGTTTCTGCGATCCACAGCCATGTCCGACGAGACGCCTAGTGGCACCAGCAGCTTTTTGCTCTTGCGTGTGTGTTCCGCCCATCATATTGAAGCTGATGAGCTGCATTTATTCACACGCCCGGCTCCACATAGAGTCGAATGCACCTCAGGGAGGAGCGAACTGAGGCTTTGACTACGGCGCTGTAGTCCTCTTTTCGGCAGATCCCAGCACGGATCGGGCGGAATACTCTCAGCTGCCTCGCATCGTTGAGGATGCCGACACCTCGGTCTTCCCGAGCTCCCTTCCAGAACTAAAGACAATTCTGAGAAAAGCAAGGGGAGGGCCGCAGCGGCTCGAAATCTGAAAAGCACTGGAGGTCTTCGAAGTTCGCCGGTGGCGGCTTGTTGACCATCACGAAGCTCATGCGCGAATGAGCTTCTTGGACACAGCGTACCAATTAGCCGAAACCCTGAGCAGTTCTTCAGCTAGAGCAGGTCGGGCAACTGCAGTTGCCCGGTGATACGACAACAACTGCAATCACGGCAAGGAGAGCGCGAATCCTCCCGGTCCCACAGTCAACCAAACTTGGAGAGAAACTGCCGAACCTGGGTTTCGATGCCTGAGGTTTCCACGATTCGCGTTTCAGTTCTGCAGTTGTCGTGAGCTTCGACGGCAGTGGGAATGATGGCAGCGTGGCCAAGATTTGTAAGGGTGCCAAGCCAAGCTGCAAGAAAGCAGCTCGTGTTTGAGTTTGTGGATCGTTCTATGTGGCCCAGTGTTGTTCATGCGTGTCAGTGCATGCACGCAAGCAGCAGCAGTAGCAGTTTCGGCCCGCAGTTGCATCCAACCATACGGTCTCATACGGTTGCAAATCGCGAGTGGTACCACGTGTCCGGGGCAAGCCAACGCCCAGCGATCCCTCCAGCAATTTGTTGGGCTTGCTACGCTTTTCCGAAGATGCCTGCTTGAGCAGTCGGCGCAAGGCACCTTCAATGTTTACTTTGGGAATGGTCGGCAGCTGTATCGACTGGGACAGCTCGGCTTCCAGCTTGGATTTCGAGACTCGGCCAGTAAAGCTTTGGAGGACAAAGCGATTAGTCTTTTCCCCGAGTGTGGGTCGCCCAACAGCTGTTCTCAAGGTGCCAGGACGCATTCCGGAGCAGGTCTGGTCTAGCCCGTGCAAGTAGCCGAGGATACATAACCCTGGCGGCATTCTTGACGCACGGCTGCATTAGCTGGTCTAGCCGCAGCACGTTGAGGTCCGAAGTGCGAGCCGCAGGAATGGACAGGAACAGGTCTCAGCTGCATTCACAAGTTCTGAAACAACACTGGCTGGGTTCAATCCGCTTGCAGACAGCTCGGGCACACTGGAGCACGAAGTGCCACGTGTTGGGACTGAAAAGAAATCTTTATTGCAGACGCCTGAAAAGCAAGGACCGAAATTTCGCAGCACAACTTAGACGTTCGCTGCAAGAACTTCACTGAAACAGTGGCCTGGATGCGGTTACACAGCTCATGGATTCTTTCTGTGCACGCTGCTTTATTGGAGTTGGCGATCCATGAATTCATGAACAGGCCGAAGCAAAGTCCTTCGCGCCGCAATGGCTGGTCAATCTTCACGACTACAAGTTCACTCTGCTGCTAGCTGATTTTGAGCGCGTTCTAGGCCTGTCGGAGCTCTTATCAGCCGCTCCATGTCTGGAAAGTCCCATCGCCGGATTGCATGGACTACACATACTACACCGGTTGCCGGACGCCTGTCCGAGGCTTGATCATGAAGGCTGGGCTGGAAAGATGATGGCCTACGCAGCAGCCCTGCAGAATTGGATGTTCTAATGACGGTTGCTATGTAAGTAGATATCATGTCGAGTGTGAGCGACAAAAAAAGTAGTAGTAGCAATAGAGCAGGTGCAGACGGCACGAATCATTTGAGGCCCTGGGCCCTCGCTCTGTGGAGATGGACGAGCTGGTTCGATGGCTGCCAGTCTGTGAAGCCACGCAAGTTTGAAGTTATTGGAGTCCCACCGAGTAGAAATGGACAGCAGCACAGATTCACCGAAGAGGGCATGAAGCTGCATTACGCAGGCTCGTTCATGGTGCATGCTGGAATGTCGTCGAGTGTGCGGGTTGTTTCTCTTATCACGATCTGTAATTTTGAGCCGGCCTCACACATTTCTTTTGCGTGTGCAGTGCTGTGGACTGCTCAGGTACTACCGGAACAGCTCTGCAGGCACCTTTGAAGCGAAGCCGCAGAGGGTCTCCCTTCGGTCGGCTCTCGGCTGCAGGTTCAGACTACGTCCCGGCCGAGCTCATCCGTGGTGCCTGTGCTTCCCTGGAGGGCCAGCGGGCCATTGCGGCTGCAGCACAGGCTACGCATCTGAAAAGTTCCATGCCTTGCACGGGCATGTTCGTTAGTGAATTGAAAGTTTGGTATAGATACTCTGCATTGCTGCTGAACCCGGCATGCACTTGCCGGTTCTTGGTGATGCTTTGGTGTCAGCGAGGAGAGGTTTCATGCTTATTTGACACATTGGCACCTGACAAGCGAAAGAGTTTTTGAATGACTATGAGAGTGAGATCCGACATCCAGGCCGAGTTTGAGGATTACGTCTTGGATCTGGTGCGGGCCATCATACAAGAGGTAAGTGACCTCGGCTGAACCGTAGAAGGGTGACATTTGTGGTCTGACCTGTGCTGACGTTGAGCTTTTGCCCACCGGCCACGACAGTCACGACAGGGCTTACATGCGATTCATCTGGAGGCGTTCTCTGAAAGCCTTTGCTGTTATACTGGTAAAGAAGTTGCTTGTGGAACGTGAGCAGTCCACGACAATGTCAGCTTCACTCAATGCCGGAAGCTGTGCTATGGCGAGCGTATCTCCCCAATGAGGTGACCTGGGAATTCCAGACCCGGAGGGGCTTGTACTGTCAGGCAGGAATTGCAGTGGGTTCATTTGGACAAAGTTTGGAGCGAAATTAGCTTGCCTGCACAACGTAGGCTGGTACAGTTCAGAATCCCGTTCCGAAGTGATTCGAACGTTGGCGAAACCCGTGAGCTGGACCCAAACACTCGTTTGCATGCCTCTGGCAGGCCTTCAAGTAAAAAGTTTAGATGCAGCAGTCAACTTCAGCACAGTTTTTTCAACAAGCTTGTCTGCCTGTCGTTCTTCTGATGAGTTGTGCTCAATGTTTAGCCGTGCCGCTGGCCACTGCATGTGCGAGGCGGATGTGCCCTCAACGTTCGGACGAATCAGCGCATCCTGGATGAAGTGTTGGACTCTTGGTGCATTTATGATTTCAGGATACTTCAGGGTTATCTGTCCTGACAACTCACATCTGGATATGCATCTATCCTTCGTGACATGCTGGCATCCGCAGAAGCTGCGTTTGCGCCAGGAAACTCGCGCACCAGACAAGCACATGGACGCTGAGCTCAACTCGGCAAGGCTCTGGTCATCTTTCAAAGATTGAAGGGCGAAGGTCTCCTGAAGATGAAGGAAGGAGCCCAAACTTGGTCAAAGGTTTCACCGCATCTCGGTTTGACCTGTCGTCTATGACTTTTCTGAACATCCGTCTCTACCTGAGCCCCATTGACGGCAACATAACTAGCCACTGTGTGCTACTAGTAGCTCCGAAAGCCTTCGTTTCCAAATTAAACAGTGGGTCCAATATGTCAGCCTTGAGCACCTATTGTCTTCAACCCACAAAGCTTGGCCAGAAGTTCGGCAAGAAGCGCGGAGATGGACATTGCAGCATGCAGGAAAGAAGAAAACGCACAGCAAGTTTCCAAGGGCTTGCACGTCACGGCCGCGCCCAATGACTCGGGCCTGACAGTGGGCGGCAGCTGGGCCATCGTTCCCCCTAACCAATGGCAGCCGCTTCAGTACGCCCCTCTTCTCAAAATGTGTGATTCTGCAAAGTTGTGGGTCGTGCCAATGTTTGTTGTCTGGCCATGTCCCAGCGTGGGGAGTTCCGGAAAACTCTATTGCCCATGGTTCCACAACTAGTGCGGTGGCTGCGGTTCTTACATTGGAAGTGGTTGGTGGGTGCAAGCGCGAAGTGCACCGAACGGTCTCGCGGCTTCTAAGGGCCTGGTCGAAACTGCTGGATACGCCGCGTTCATTGTAATATCCAGAATACTTGGCGCTCCCTACTCTAGTGCGAATCGTGCTCCGTGAGCCCCGTGACTACCAGGGCCACACGGTCTACGAGGCTCCCAGGCACTCCTTCGTCTCGAAACCCCGCCATCCGGAAGTTATGTTTTCAGTGGCTGCAGACTTTCCAGAGCTCCGAATACTTCATTTACAGTTTTTGCAACGCGTAAGTCGGTGTAACACCGAAAGCATCTACTGTACTTTACAGTACCTGCAACCCCTCCACATCTGTAAATGCTGCATAGTTGCAGTGTATGCAGCATTTCAGCCACGGCACGATGTGCGTTGGGATTCATTAGCCGGTCATGGAGCCCCAATGATGCTCCCCCTAGCTGAGATAGTTCTGGGGTATGCAGGGCTTGGACTACCAGTGCTCTTTCGCTTCGGGGAACACAGAATTTCGGCTGACATGCTCTATAAAGCAAAGGAGCACCTGAGCTGGACGGTTGGTCTTCTTGCAGAAGCAGCAATATCGTCCAGTCTTTGGGCGGCTGCTGTTCCGAAAACCCTACGTTTCGGCCGTACATAACTTCGGCTGTGTTGCTATTCCGAAAACCCCGCGTTCGGCCGTACATAACTTCAGCTGTGTGTGCAGGCCAGACACCTTTCACCTCGCACGGGTGTTTGTGGATGGTTCAGGTTAAGTCTCTCGATCTTCACCCACCTCACTCCACTCTTGAGACTGCCCTTGGTGTTCCCGATCTCCAAGCCAATCTCCAAGCCACAAGCATCCGCAACCTGAGATTGGCTTCCATCTGTGGGTTCCTCGGCCGTGAGAGCAAGTTCTTTTGTCTGCAGTGCTGCTGCTTTCTAGAGGTGGTGTAGATCTCAAGCACATGTGTCTGTGAGTGACTGGCACTTCGTGTATGTCGTCCCGCCGCGCCTGTCTTGAGGACACGCCCTTCCTGCCTGACCACGTGAAGACCTGGGATGCCAAGAACTTCTACAGCTTAGGCCGGCGAGGGTGTAACAACTGGTGGATGAGGGACGAGAGAGACGGAGAGTTCACATACTGCAGGTTTTCGCACCAACAGCCGACAGACCCGTTGCAGACTTCCCGAGGTGGTGTGGAATATTTGGCAGAGTTGTTATCTGGTGGGCCTGCTTGGCTGGCCGAACGAGGCAGGGCACAGAAATCTCATTTCAACCACACGCACAGCCATAGCATCAAGCATTCCGGACTGCCCCGAAGGCCACCAAGCAGCCACACCCATTATCGGGATTGTGCGAGATCGTCAGGACGCTAAGTCGATGGAGAGCACACAGTGTGTCATGTGGTGTCGCCTCTGTTGCGGGAGGAGTTCGGGCCCAGGGCACTGGGCCACAGATCTCTGCTAGCCGTGCCCAACTCCGTGGAAATCCGAGATCGCATGAACAGGCCATGCTTGCCACTTTGTTGATCTTTTTTGCTTCAGCTGCAGGGTTTTGGTTGTAAAGGCCAACAGTGAGTGCATGGGGTGCCATCATACTGTACATCTCGTGTATACAGCCGAGCGTCCCTTAACATCTCTGAGTCCGGTAGCCACGTCTTCCCATGAGCGCAGGCTGAAATTTCGGCAGTGGTTCCGGCCTGTGGCCCCGATGATCGCCGAGGAGGCCCTGGAAGAGGTCTTCGGCCGGCCAGCTGCTGGGCCGAAGTGCAGTCGCTTTTCGCCAGTCGGGTTTGGGTCCTTATTAGTGTTCCTTATATGAATCCTTATATATTGGGGGCTACAGGGCCTCGAGCGCACATGCAAGCAGTGCCAGTAGGGTGCGGACGAACCCGCCAAGCTGATTCATTGGCGCGGATCGCCCAGGTCAAGTCAACGTACATGAGCATGGCCCCGAAGGTCCGCCCCGAGGCGTGGGGGAGTTTTCTGCGCTTGTTGGGAGCACAAATTCACACTGTCTTATTGTCGAATTGAGGGTGCCTGTAAGAGCTGGGTGAATCTGTTCGACTTGAGGGCGGTCTGTGTTGCGCCCTGCATTGAAAGGTGCTGGCAAAGTTTCCAGCCCTTTCGCATTTGGATGGCACTGCGCGGCACCAGTCCGTATCCCGACATCTTCAGTGCTTTGAGATGTAAAGTAGTAATTACTTGCCAGAATGCAAGAGTCTCGTACTGCCTTGTGCCTTCCAGCTCAATACCTTGAGGCTACCCCGCGCGGCGTTGCTGATATGTTTCCCGTTTTGTTTATGTGTGTGTCACTCTACTGACAGCGCTCTTCTGAGCAGTTTGCTTTTTTGGTGGCGAGTTTGCAATGCCAGTAGTGGCATTTTCTGCAGTTTCTGACTCGACTCTATTGCGTGATTGTGTTGTCGTGCTGAAAGTAGCATTGAATCATGAGATGAGATGTCTCCGCCTGAGGTGAGCCGGGAGGATGAGCCTTGGATCCATGCGCTGCTGCTGGCGGTTGGCCGGCGGACCGGTCTAGCGGTTCCTTGGCTCAGAGATACTTTCCGGAAGCTGCATTTGTCAAATTCAAAGACGGAAACTAAACCCCAAGAGCCCTAAGCTCGACGCACGGCCTCGCAAACCTTGCTTGGACTGCCCGCCTGGTGCGAGACAATGCGAGACAGCTCTGGACTCCAAATCTGGTTGCTTCGAGCCGGAGTCCGCCAAGTGCTCACAGTGGGCTGTAATGGTATTGGAGCAAGAGTGGCAAGCTCCAAGGCTCGAGGAGGCTTAGGAAGTATAAGGGTTGCCTATCCCGAAATAATTACGCGATGCGAGCAGATGAGGTTTCCACGGCATAGGTATGGAGGAACAAGAAGAGCTTGATGAACAGAGTGCGCAGGCAATGAGACAGGAAGGATCGGGAAAGCTGGATGCAAAAAGGCTTTGGAGCGCTGGCTCTTCCTCATTCGCTTCTGACAGGTTCAGGCTCGCACGTACACACACACACACACACCATCATCTCAATACCAACTTAAAAATATCAGGTAGCATGCCTTGGAACGTGCAGCAGTGTCGGTTTGACATGCTCAGGCTCTCATCAACACGAGCTTCAACACCAAAGGCAAACCCATCATCAACCGTGCAGAGGACAGGCACCTGTTTTCAGATTCGGATTAGTTTTGTTTCATGTCATGCGACACAGTAGCAGATGCAAGCAGAGAACAGGCCAGGTGGGAAGTGAACGCTGCGGATGCTTCATGTGCACTGTGGCAAGAGGTTCTGCAGTTTGGACGGCTTGCACTGCAGGACTGTCTCAAGATGCTCGAAGAGATGCCTGTGCCCTGATTTTCTATCAGCCGATCAGACTCAAGGGATATCCAGATTCCCAGACCCTGTGCAGCGACGAAGCAGGTAGCTGATGACTAGATATGACTAGTAGGCATGGAAACTCGATGCATGCCTCGCAGCCTTCATAGGCGAGGCGGCGGCAGTTGTTGCACTGTTGAGTAGCTCCCGGTTCAATTTTTGCGGTTGTGGGCTGTCGTTCCACCGAGCCCAGGATCTCGATTATGTTCTGATCGAGGATTGGCTGTTCCGAGCACCCGCCGCAAAAATGAAGCCAACCGCGAGCTCATGACAAAAAATGCGGAAGGTGTTGCGGCTGTTCGACGGTTGGCAAATGGCTCGGCTGTTGACTCTTGGCAGGTCCTCCCACAAAACGCCATCTCGATTCCATGCCATTTGGTGCGTTCCGGCTTCATCTCAAGCCAGCATGGACAGGATTTAGGAATGTGCCGCCTGGAAGCATGATCGTGAAGTCGTCCTCCGGTCAAGCACAGCTCCCCGCCCGACCTCTACCTCAACCCTTCAAAGTCGAAGACTCTGCATGCTCCAACCGCGACTTTGTACACAGCCGCATAGCCACCGGCCAAGCCATGGCAGTGCGCATCATTGCTCATGTCGTCTTCTCGGGCTGATGTTTCGTGATAAGGCCGGATTTGCCCACGCATTTTACCCAGGCAGCGGCAGCTCGCGACTCCGTGGTCTCCAATTTCTTCAACTTCCTTCATTCTGGAAGGCATGCGCTGGCGCGTATGGAGAGTCTGTGTGACATCAGCTGTGGATTGCTGTGCTTCTTTCAAGCTCCGGACTGAGACTTCAGACATTTTGCAGGAAGGTAGCTTGATGCCGTCCTGTCGCCCGTGCAATCTTACAGCCCCTCAATCTTCAAGCAAAGGTTAGCATGACGGTCTGCTACGCAAAGTCGCAAAGCAAGTAGGTGATCATTCCTCCTGTCTACCCCGCTTTTGATTGGCCGCTCTTTGCCTTGTGCTTTCTGGAGGTCGGGCTACGTGCTTCTATGCCCCGTGGTCGCACATGCAGCAAGGGCGGCGTGTGTCCTCAAAGTGACGTGCTTTTGCCGACGATGTCGATCCCATCGGACTCTTATCCCATACTCAGCCACATTGCACACCCTTTGCAGCCGCTTTCGCGCTGACAAGTGGGGACGCAACAAGGTCGCTTCGAAGTGTCTGTGAGCATTGCACACAGCCTCCAGACAGGCCTCACGTACTCGAGTCACTCGAGGCGTAATACCCTTTCCAAACTCTGCCAAACTCACACTCTCGTCGTTGCAAATTTCGCGCTCCCAGTGTGAATAGTGCGGAAAAGGTCTTTCGCCGTGGCTGTCGCAGAAACTGCAATTTTCGCAATGAAAAGGTGCGCTTCACGATCCGGAACTTTGTAACTTCGGAAAGTGCGAAGAGGCATGCACGGAGTGTGTTGCTTCGCATGGCCCGATTTTCTTGTCGTGGTCTTGGAGGCTCCAAAACCCGACCTGAGAGTGCACACAAACTGCGCTTGCGTGGGTTGGCATTTTTGTTTCCTGTCGTGCAACGAAAAACGAACATTCATCGCGTGTGCACGAACAACTGTTCGAGACAGATTCGTTGTGCTTTTGAGATTTGAGATCGAGACAAAACGACGATGCCACAGGGTGATTTGGCTTTCGGCTTTTGGACAGCAGAAAGCCAAGAACAGCTGCTGCTTCAGATCTGGCAACGCTCACGACATTTTAATTGGCGTCATGCATTGCCGCAATTTCTTCCCCTGTTGTTGGCTCCGCGGTTTTGACTTCGTCCGCTTCTGGATTAGCTTTAGTGTTCAAGGCAAGGCTGTTTCCTTCCGGGAACAGGAGCTTGTGACCCGTCTCAAGGTGGATTTGCGCTGCTGGTGCTCGCGGGAGTTGGCCCTCAGCATTGCGCCTTGAGGTATTCAACGTGCCGCATGAGTTGCAGTAGGTTGGTAAGCTGCTGAGTCTCAAGGAAGATCACGCGAACTTGCCCCCAAGCTTGTCTCCAGGTGATGATGGTGGCGACTTTCGATAGCAGAGAAGCACGTGCCGCTCCACCCGGATGGGTGCCGCACCGAGTTGTGCTTGAGAGTTACAATCTCTCGGAAACATTTTGTTGGCGCTGACGTGGGCCATTCCTGGTTGGTACCGTGATGTACCGTGCGAACAGTGCAGATCACACGCAGACATTTGATTCCGCGGCTTGCGGAATGAAGGCGATGTCACACAATCAGAAGCACTGAGGCCACGAGGAAAGTTAAAGACAGAAATGATACCTTCTTTGTTGTCGTATACTGGGGGGGCAGCCAAAATCACAGACAAGACTGGTGCACAAGGTCGCGGTTGTCAAGATCAAGCCTTCGTGGCTGTGATCGCAGCTGTAAGCGAAAAAGCTTCTCAGCTATCATCACGCTCTGGGAGCTGGTCTCCACACCTCACCCTGCAGTCACCACAAAGAGATACGTGCCTACTGTCATGGCATACAGAACGAAAGTGCGACGGCACCGCTGTGTTGGGAACCGCCTCGAAATATCAAGCTAGCTGGCTGTCTGCAGCCGGAGACTTACCAACAGAACCATTGATGCAGCATTGATGAATCTCACCAGTTTCAAGACTGGGGCGACTTTTCCAAACCCGCCATCTTGCCTTCCGCAGAAACAACACGTCTGGCCTTCGTGCCTGCCCGAAGCGGCACTAGTATTTTATAGGTGCACGAGCACGCGATGCACTGACTGTCTCCACCAGTGAAAAGTTGCGCTCGAAAGTACATTTAGACAAGGCGCAAGACTTGGTAGGGAATCTTCAATCCAGCTAAGCTCCGAACTTGGTCGTCTTTTCTGGTCATGGTTTCGGCACTAGTTCGGGGTTGCAAGTCATGTCGTTGCAGCATGGAAACGCTTGGAGCCTTGCCTGCTTGTGCGCGTTGCGCAAACAGCCGAGTGGCGGCAGTTGAACAGTTGCAAGGGGGGTTGCTTTCTGGCACTGGTTGCAGTGGATGCGAGGGCCAGCTGTCCACGGCAGCTATTGAAGACGTTACAAGAACTGTGGCAGAATGCGTGCAGCTCCACCGGTGGATTGCAAACAAAACCTCCGGCGGCCGTCTAGTAGCACAGCAGTGATAGCGAGAAGCCCTAAATGTCACACTGTGTTTCTGCCGTCAACCGGGTGTAGGAGCGCAGTCAGGCAGGTGGGGCATTGACCTGAGTCCTGCCCCTGGAACGGCCAAATCGTGGTCCTAGTGTTGCTTTGCGAGCGAGTCATTGTCACACTGGCGGCACAAGATGACTCCGAACTACCGGGCTTAAAAAACAAAGCTAGTTCGGGCACACATCGATCAGAGAAGTACAGTACTATCTTTTGCAAGGTCAGTGCATGCATCATGCTTGACTCTTGTGGGCAGAGTCCACTCAGTTTGATGTTCTCTTCTTCTGGTTGAGCTTGAGGAACGTTTCGTTGCTGCTACCAGCTCCAACCAGCTGCGGCCCTGGCCAGCACAGCTTCGGTTCTTGAGCCAGATTTGCCGTCAAACCCAATGTCAGCGGTGCGACATCATGCTGCCGCACTCCTGCTGTGCTAGTTCTTAGTTGTTCCGGTGCTCTTGTCTGAGCCTCTTGCCCAGAGAAGCTTTGACTCGACAGCGAAGCCTTGAGGTGGGTCTCCTGCGCTTTCCTTCTCTCTGCGGCGTCCATCGTATTGAGTCCCTGACCAAGACACGAGAGAGACTCTGACGGGATCTTGTCCTGGCTTGATTTTTATCGATTGCAGCTGCATTTCTGTCAAGGGACGTGCAAGCGGCACCCGGCACCTGCCAGTCTTTCAGGAAGAAGTAGAAGAGTCCACTTCTTGTTAGTTTCTGGTTGCTGGTTCAGCTATCCTCTATAATCTAGAACGTGTAAAGTGAAGGGTATCAAACACCATCAAACACGTAGCTGCGCATTGGACCTAGGCATCAACTACTTGCCACGTCTGGAAGGCGAAGGATGAGAAGGCGCGCTGCCACCTGATGCATACTGCCCGGCCGAGCAGTGCAAATGTCTCAGGGCGTGTGCTACCAGGTGGCCAGGACATGATATGATTGACCATTGCATTCGGAGTAGCTCGCCTCCATCAGACCATGCGGTTGACGTAGGCTTTGAAGAGTTTCCGCCGAGGTCAGCGTTTCGACGCCTTGCTTAATGACGGCTCAAGTTTTCAGCAGTAGGGCCAGTAGGGGATGATCTACACTCACCGCATTGCATCAGTGCCACCAAGCTTGTCTTCAGCAGCCATTCTCCACATCTTGCGTTGCTGGGTTGTCCGCGTGAGATTCCCTGCAGTAACCTCCCATCGCGTCGAGAATGGGAGCCTGCACATCTCGAGCTCCAGCTGTTGCGGATGAATCCCGGCCAGTGGGCCATACTACTGTGGGCTGTGCGATGAATTGGCGGCATCAGAAACTCTATACAATGTGGGTCGCTGGGCGTATGGTTTGAAACCATGGCCCCCTCGGTTACGGTTGTCTCCCCGTCGAATTTCCGAACTTCCCGGTCTGAGAGACAGAGAGAGAGAGAGAGAGAGAGAGAGAGAGAGAGAGAGAGAGAGAGAGAGAGAGAGAGAGAGAGAGAGAGAGAGAGTGAGAGTGAGTGAGTGAGTGTGTGTGTGTGTGTGTGTGTGTGTGTGTGTGTGCAAGTCGGGGTGTTGGCAGGTAGTCAGGTGCTCTGCCCGTAGTACTAGCCTTTCGCACTTACTGCAGTGCGCTCAACCAACAGCAGGCGGCCCTTAGCGGGGGGCTCGCCCCTCAAGCCTGGTGAAAGAAAGAGAGAGCGAGAGAGAGAGAGAGAGAGAGAGAGATTTACCTGAACCTGCCCCGGAAGCCGAACCTGGACTACCACTACAGCGAGCCCTACTACAAGAACGCCAGGGACCCGAACGAGCACGAGGACCAGCCCCTGACGCCGACCCACGACTACCTCAGCAAGGAGACCTGGCACAAGACGACCAAGGGCCGGCCCAGGCAACGGGAGCACCCGCTCCGCCGATTGCTCCGAGGCCAGACGACGACCGTACCGTGACACCGGCGACGACGCACCGCACACTACAGCTCGGACGGGAAACACACCGGACTCGAAGGGTCCGTGGCACCAAGCAGGGGGGCACCAGCTCCGTCAACGACAGACGTGAACGACACCGCAGCTACTCAAGACGACGCCGAGTGTGCCACGGTACCATGGCACGCACCGTCTCCAGGACAAACAAGCCTGGCAGAAGACGAGACCTTCCTGGGAACGCCGGGGGCACTACCTGCG